ATAGCTGGTCAATGATTTTACCCATTGGCAGCTCATAAAATGATTTTGTGTTTTCTCTACGTATTTTAAAGATAGTCCAACCAGATTTTGCCAGGGACACACTGTCAGAGAGAGTATTTTATTTAACCTCTGAATTTTCTTCTTCTTCACTGTTTTTACATCTGTACATTTAGCCTGTACCCAGGGCTAAAATGTAACAGTCACTATCACCTGATAACCCCTCACCAGCCAAGGAAGGGAATCAGGAAAAAGAAGAGCAGAGCTGTGGGTAGAAGTGAAACAGATTTAACAAAACCACCTCCAATACCAACAGAGATACACAGAGTTATACTCAGCCAAATGAATATCCAGTTGTCACAGAGAGCAGTCCTCGGAGAAGCCAGAGGAGGAGCAGGAAGAACCCCAACAGGAACTCTCTAGGAGCTCCCTTTCCCCCTTTATAACGACCATGACACTATGGGCTGGGCTACCCCTGTAGCTCCCTCAGGTCAGCTGCCCTGGCTGACTCACCACTGCTAATGGCCTACCTGGCATGGCTGGGCTGGGGTTCTGTCCCAGCCAAACCAGGACAACATCTTTATCTCTTTACACTTCCAAATGAGAATCCCGTGCTGTAGACATTTGGCTATAGTTACCACCATTCTAACATTTCTATCTTTTCCTGTTCTAGGTTTATCACACAAAAGTAATCGTGATTGCTGTACGCATTATTTTGACCACAAAGTAGAATCTGACTGAAAAAAACTCAATGTGATTAATGCAGGTAGAGACATTGCTATAGAATCACCAGGGTAAGAGATTTCACACCAGTATCTGCTACAGTACTAAAAAGGGTCAGAAAATAATGTAGTTAGTCCTAATAGCATAGTATATTGTAAGGCAAGATTAGAGAACAAATTTGGTGTTTATGATGAATTGCCTTTGGCTGCAATGTTTTGTAAATGCCACTGTGAATGTATTTGGAGAGTTACAGACTTGTGCTTTGTCATACCAGGGATGATGGGATCACCAGGAAAGGTCCGTACTGATTTTTTTCCTGAATCTGTGACTGGATGCAAACCACATGTATTGCTGCTGCTCTCTGCTTTTCTCAATGGCTTTAAATGAAAGGAGTTGTGTTTCTTAAAGAACAGGCCCCTGCCCTGTCTTGCTGGTTGCTCCTTGTCCCCCTCTTCACAGGATCCAGCCATAAACAGTTCCCCCCAGTGCACCCCCCTCCAGCCCATGGTGGAGGGCAGAAGAAGACAAGCGCTTCAGCCAGGTCCTTCAGTCAGTCAGCTCAGCTCGTTCATGGGTGAGAAGAACCTGCCCTTCTCCATGTGGGGTTGGCTTCCCGCAGGGCAAGTGAGCTGTGCTGGCCCAGGAGTGCCTGGGCCAGCACCAAGAGAGACCCCCACAAGGTCAGAAACAAGAGCAGCTGCAAAGTGGTCAGTCTGGGCCCACCTGCACTTCAGGGGAGGACAGCTTGTCTCCCTGCCAGGATCGGTCCCCTTGGAGCCCAGGCTACCACAGACACTTTGGGGGCTGCCTGTAGCCAGGAGCTGCCTCAGCCCAGGTGGGTGCCACACCATGCCTGGACTTGGCCCCGCAGAGGGAAGAGAGCTGCTCTGTTCTCACTCTTTGATTTGCATCCCTGATATCCTTCTACTGCCATTTCTTTTCTTTGCTGCTACCCCCTCTCATATTCATTCCTGACATCTTCACCGTCCTGTGAGATGAAAGACATTTTCATCTAAGAAAAGGAATACGCCCATATTCTTCCACAAATGGGTATGTGTGAATATGCCAGTAAAATATATTATTTTTAGAAAGAGGATATTTCCTTTTTAATCAAGTTTTTGTAAAAGTGTGAGTTACTTACGGACATGTTGGCTTACATTTTTGAAAGCCTCTTTTTGTTTTTGAAAAAAAAATACTCTTTTTGAAAAACTAGTATATTAGAAATATGGGGGTAGTACACAGAAAGACAAATGTGTCATTAGAAATATTTTACATGAGTAATCAATCTAAATATAAGATCCATTTTCTCCTGTGTTTTTAATTAGCAATTTGCAAAACAGGCAGCCTTTATTGTGAAAGGATTGATTTATTAGCCATAACAAACCCCATGGGACGTGCTGAACCTAAGCCTTGCGTTACTTGAAGGAGAAGTATACCTTAGAGCAAAGGAAAGGTCTCAGTCAAACAGGTGACTGTGACTACCACAGAGCACCCCCAGCTTATTTGTTCAAATCCACAGGGTGGCAATATAGACAACCCCTCCGTGCAACCGCAAATCGTGTTCGAGCTGGTGTCATTGCTACCGCAGGTCCTTCAGGAAAAGGCTCTGTGCCTTCATTAGCCATGCATTTACACTGATAAAGAAATTTGAGCTAGATGCTATACCAGTCTGTTTGCTTCTGCAAATATTTAACAACGGATAGATAGCTAACAACCACTGGAACCTGGCATTAGCAAAGTAAGATGAACTCCTCTAGAAAGACATTTTGGATTTATTCAGTAGAAAGCAATCTGGAAGGTATTTTTTGGTCCTGATGGAAGCTGCTTGCACGTGAAACTTAGCAGAGAGAAATTTTCAGCTCATCCAAACACACGTGTGAACTTATTTTATGTCCTATCATTTTGTCCTCACATAATTTGATTCCCAAGGGAAGCTACATTCGTTCCTTCCATGTCAGCCTGCACTGTGCTTAAAGAGAAACATGCTCTTTTAGGTTCAATGAATTCTATACAGAATCTTGATTGTCAAAGATTTCTGATTACAAAGAGTCATTAGCTTGTAACTGTGAGATATGTTGTCCTGACAGGATGTAATTGTGATCCGATGCAGTTATTGAAAGAGGTTCGACATAGGACTTTGCAAAGATTTAGAACTAAAGCCTACAAGTCAGGGAATGTAGAAATATTATGGGGAGGATGTCGGGTTTTCCTGTCTGTCTTCTGTCTGTTCTTTATTACTGCCTTATATTCTCTACAGCATCAATGCTAGGATTGTCTTCCAGTGATTCAGGAGGCAGAATAATAACCCCGATGAGTTGTGAGCTCCTGGACCACGTGGTTTCTTGCTATTGACCAAGAGGTCAATGTCTTTCTGCAAAATCAGAAGTTGAAGAGCTGCAATTTGAAAGTTCTCTCTTGCCATTTATAAGTGAAAATTGTTTTTTCTAGGCAAGGGAAGTATAGCAAATGTAGTCTTTTTGATCTTCAGTAGACCAGTTGCCACCTGACCACAACTAGATGTGTTAGCTGAGCTAAACAGGAGAAATAACGCGAACAAAGAACTAGATAAAGATCTGATGATGATGGTAAGCTGTGCTGAAAGCAGAAATGGTGGTCTAACGGGAGGCCACTCATGCAGTTCCTCAAGGATCAGTTTAGGAACAGTCTTTTGTCATTCTTCAACTAATAACTGAGGACAAAAAGTAGTAACATGTTAGTGAAATGCTCATGACAATCTCAGAAGTATTGTGAATGCTGAAGAAGTATCAGTGAGGAAGAACTGAGTAGCTCAATACACTGGAGTAGCAGAGACTGGGTGAAATTTAAAATATGCTTTTAGTAACTTAGAAAAAGAAATTCTGCTGCAAGCTAGGAAATCCTTAGTTGGAACTGCGAAAGGAGAAGAAAGGTGTTGATCCAGTGGTTAATCAGGAGACGGCTCATCAACAGAACCGATAGAGTCATGAAAAAGGCAAGTGCTATCACTAGGCACACTGATAGAGATATTTCAAGTCAAGTTAGTGAAATATTAATAATCGATTACAAGGTGTAAGAGTCGGTCCAAAAAATAGCATTGTCTCAACACAAGGCACAGGGAAAATCCATCCGGGCTACTGTGTACGCAGTTGTCTGTGTGAAGGATGAAGACTTTTTTTGTACCTTTTTTGTTCAAAAGATAATGAACAGCCTTCTTTGGGTGTAAGAGGACTGAAATTCTAGACCAGCCTTTTAGAAACAGGGAGTACAAAAATAACCAATTTTGAATCAGCGTGACAAGGTTGCAAAGGGATGCTCTGATGTGTTCAGCTGGACGTACAAGATCCCTTCTAGTTCTTTATTTTGACAGCCCTGTATCATTGTATGCAATGAGCCTGTAGGGCTTTGCTGACAAAATTCTGTCTTAGGACATATGCTGTGTTAGATTTTATGTGTAGTTTTCAGTGGCAAGTATTTACCTTTTGATAATACTGAGGTACAAACGGCACAGTCTTGTTATGATTGTACTGAAAGAATGAGGATGTGAGTGGTGTCTGTGATACTTGTTAACCATTGTCTCTCCTTTATTTTTGACCAGTGTATCGTAGGGTCATTGCAAAGGTGAAGGGACCTTTGATTTCAAGCCCATTTACAGAAAGGTGTTACGCTCTTCAGACCTTGTTCTGTAATGATTAGAGGCATTAGAGGTAAGGAGATTACACTTATGATTTTAAAGGTCAGATGTTATAATCACTTTGGTTCTCCATCCTTTTTGTCAGAGCGTTTAGTAGAGTAAGATCTCTTACAGAGAAGGAAGAACATGTTTTAGTACTTATCACAAAACATACAATTTTGTAAGCATACACTATGGGAAAATGAATGTGATGGTGATTGACAAGCAGTTTATCTTCCTGATAAAAAATAGTATGAAACCTCTATATTCAGTCTGAGGCCAGTGGAGTCTTTTTACTCCGTATTTGCTAAGGCTATATATGTATTTAAGTGAGTTTAAACAGGGGAGTGGCAAGGGGTGTTTCATAACTGTATAAGCGATTACAGTTTATAGCCAAATTATCTCCTGAATTACATTAGCTGAAATCAATGTCTTCTACTAGATGAACAGTCTGTTCCATAAAACCTTGACAGATAAAGCATTAATAAGTGTCAGAGCTGACTTGGTCAATCGAATGATTTGCTGACGCTTCTTTTTGCCACAAGCCTGCACTTTCACGTTTCGTGCCAAAGGTTCACTATATATAGCTGAAGACAGCAAATAGATGTTCTCTTTTTGTGCAGATGTCTAACTAGCTAGCTGCCTGTTTCGTTATCTCCTCACTGGGGCGGTGTTTTCAGTCAGGAAATTTAAAATATGGTGAAGCTACAGTTGCCCAATCCTGGCCTGGAGGACAGGATACCTTCCCATGCAGAACTTGAGGTCCTGGAGAAAGAAGAGGCAGACTCCAGACCAAAATGGGACAACAAGGCTCAGTATATGCTGACGTGCATAGGGTTTTGTGTGGGCTTAGGAAATGTGTGGCGGTTTCCGTATCTCTGTCAGAGCCACGGAGGAGGTATGTCTTTAATATATCTTAACTAACTTTGGCTATAAATGAGGTTTAATCTCTCTTTTGGGAAACAAATAATAGAATATGTCTAGAACTGGTCAGTTCCGGTGAGAACAGTGATATCCATCTCTAGAGGACTGTCTAATGGAGAAGATTATTTCACAAATTATGAACTCCCACTGGAGTCGTGTTAGTGATGGAAGAAAAGGAAGGGACTGTTTTCATTTCAGGACAGGATTGAAAAATCAGTCTCACACTATCATGTACATAGTATCTAAACCTAATGTTGCTTTACATACATACATACATATATATAATGTATGGTTTAAAATATTAATAAACTACTTGGCAGTATGATTCTGATCACTGTCCCAAATGATCTTTTCATAATAGGGTTTTTATTGGTTTTGGAATGATCTTTGTATCAGCTGTAGGGTCAGTGTGCATGGAATTTATGATGGGAGGAACAGAGTGAAAGTAGTTAACGTTAAGAATATGGTTTTAGCAGTTGGTGTTACTAAATCATTTAAAATCCAAATGTGTGATACTTACCATATAGTTCACTGAGACTCCTTAAGGTTTGGGTTAGGGCTGAATGACCATATTGAAAATTTTGTTTCACTGTTTTGCTGTTTGTTTTTAAAACTGCTATTAACCTGGACCGTTGCTTAAATATTATATGACAAAATAAATTTCTCATTTTCTGACAGTCTTTTCTGCCCCCTATGTATTTGTTATCTGCTTTTCACTCTGGGATATGTGTAAAAAATGTTTGTTCCTTGGTGGTGTTTGATCTTGAAAGATTTTTGGCTTAAGGAACAGTATTTCAAAGTTGTTTTCATTAAATGTACACAGTGAGAAGTTTAAAAATTGCTCTTCCTAGTCAGAGTACAGACCAAGGAGGGCTCTGTGGGAAGCCGATGTTACAGCCTTAGGGATGTTTATCAACAGAGGACTCCACTGCAAGAAGAGATGCTTTTAACATTAAGACTTTTCTAACATGGGCTGTTGTTTAGCTCGCAGTGTAAGCTGAAGGTCGTTTGCAGCACAGCCAACTCTTGTTACAAAAAAGTTACAAGACATGCACAAAAAAAAAAAAAAAATCACAACTCCCTTTCTGTGTGTCACAGTTTTAATTTGAAAAAGTGGATAGAGATCTCAAAAATCCCTGGCACTCTTCTCAGGGTCTTCTTTTACTTAGTCTTAGAAAGTGAACATGCCTTGTTTCCCGGAGTGATTTATAGGCGCTTCCCTGCTTTTCTGTCTATCTTTTCTTTCCCTCGTGTTCTAGCCACATGAAACACAGCTGAAAAATGAACATCCAACAAACACAAGGAACTTGATGTGGATCATGGTTTTCTGACTGATGTCAGTGAAGATTTGTGACTTGCTTGTGTGTGTCTGTCAGTGCTGTGTTTTAATTTCTCCTTCGGCAGCAAATATTTTTCTTTCCCATCATCCTGTGGCTTGACCCTGCTTAGGAACACTAACAGTTATCCCTGGCTTCTTGCTTCCCTGCGACTCTCTCACTCAAACTTCAGGCAGAAGTTGAAAGGCAGCACATATCAGAGAAATAACATAGCCGGCTCTGGGCTTACAGCGACTGCACAGTCCCTGTGCCCAGGTGAGGTCTGATAGCAAGGGTGTAGGCAGTCAGTATTTCAGCAAGGACACTCCCAAATGAGGTCGGATGTCCACCTACTTTGTGAATCAGTGTTTGCATATTTTATATCCCTCATGAAACATAAACAGACTATAGTGAAGTACAAAATTTACCCTTGTAGTACTTGGACATCAAGGAAGGTGGATTTTTTTCTCTGCAAATTGAGTGTAGTGAAGGAACACTCTTATTTTCAGATGTTTGAACTTAAATCTGGGTTTATTTGAGGGCTGCTTCTTCCTACACACAGCACCATGGTGGTGTTTTAACACTGTGATATACAAATATACAAAAATAAGTAGGTGGTTACATAATTTACTTGCTTTTGTTCTCATAGATTATGAGTTTCTATTTTTAAAAATGGAATATTTACCACAGTAAAATTTAGTAAAGCACATTTTATCCTTTTGACGTCTTAAAAGTTGTAAAACACATCATTACCACAGACGGACTGGATTTCAATGTACACACAATGTAAAAGCTGCGGTGTTTGCCGCAGTGCTTTCACCAGCTTAATGAGATTGAAATTTCCTTTCATTTGATAGCTATCTCTGACATTACCCATAGCTTTTGTTTAATCTTTATTGAGCAACATGTCATTTAATCAACTGTTAAACATTTCTGTTTCATCCCTAATGAGCATTATAAAAAAAAAGGATGTATATTTAATGTTTAAACCATCAATAAAAAAAAAAAAAAAGTCTTTAAGTCTACAGCTCGCATATGTTTGCAGTAAACCTTGCCACTACGTGAGGGAGGTCTTTTTCATCTCTGTGCCTGCCACACTGAGTGAAGTGACAGTAATGACACCAGCAATTCCTCACTGGTACTGGTGCCCTCACTACAGTTGAGGTGTAAGAATATGATAGTATACAAAAACATCTCCGTCCGAGAGTCTACCTGTCTTCCCTTTGTGAGGAATTATGTGAAAGCAATAATAATTTTTTCCATTTCAGATTAGAAACTCTTATACTAAAGGGAGAGTAATAGCTATACAGATGTTCAAACCAAGTATTATGTGTTCAGAAATACAGCACTGAAACAGGATGAGAGTCTAATACCTGAGCTGTAAGGTTTTCGGACTTCAAGATTACTCATTGTTTATATACATCTATACAACATTTATTTTCAGATCAATAGTTTATTTGTTAGGTTAATAAAATTGTGAGAGCTTAAAAAGCATTGATTTTTTTTTTTATGTCCCACATAGCAGCTTTGCATAGTCATTATCGCTTATTTTTCCGTTATAACTTCTTTCAGAAAGTTTGGGGAGAAATGGAGAGAAATGGAAGAGTTGGACTTCTGAGCTGGCTGTTAGAATTGAACTCCAGAATGAGAACCCCCCAAGAAAGAGAAAGAAGTGGCATACATAACTGAGAACTACCATTTTATTTCTTTTGGAAATATACTGATATCCCTAGATCTAAATATAGGTAGTTTTACTTATTTGTCCAGTTCTGACATGGCACACCCTGCATTTTTAACTCGTCAGAGCTACGATACTGTACACAGCTAGCCCTTCAAGTTGTACCTGTGTGCGTAGGGACATAGATTCTGCACTGCAGGTGTATACACACACCACGTGCTTTATGTCTGTGATAACAAAAGGGGTGGACAGAGACCCACCTTCTCCATTTGTGTCCATCTCAGAACCTGAAATTTGTTTCCCAATAATTCCAAGGAAGCTGGGGAGCTGTGAGTATACAGTTGGAGAGCACACCTTTTTCATGTGATAGATGGCTCCACAAAGGACATCCTTTCCCCTTTTTGTGGCTGCGCAAGGAATGTCATGGGGTCCCTTTGACTGCTCTAAGATGTGTCATGCTTAAACACTTCTCTTATAACATCTTAAAAAAGGTGCCCCTGTAAGTGACTTGAGACCTCAGGAAATCCCCTGAGGTGGATAGAACACTTGTGGCACATCCACCACAGAAGACAGTTTAGTTCTGAGAGTCCTGCAACAAATTTGGCACACTGTGCTGTCCGTAGGGAGAGTTATGGTGTTGGGACCGCACTGTTGCTGAATCTCGCTGTCTTGGAGAGCGAGGCATGATGTCTACCCAGACTGCTAGAGCTGTGTGAGTGGAGGTGCACTTTGCATTTAGGATTTCCAAGAATGTCTCAAGCAAGGAACAAATGGAGCCCAAATCAATCAGCCTGCTCTCTTCTGATAGTGGGAAGTTGAGACTGCCTTTGAATGCTTTCTAAAGGAAATGATTCTAATGTTTCGTAGGAAACAGCCTGTTCTTCCCTCCCTTCTGCTAACAGAGATGGTAACTACCGAAAAAAATGTTTTCTTTGACATGTATGATAAGAAACAAGTGGTCATAGATTGAAAGGACCGTAAAGGCTGTGCATTTCCTTACGCAACAAGATCTTTGACCAGGGAGAGATTTTCTAATCAAGTCCTTAAGTGATCTTACTGTGACCCGATGAGAAAAACACGTCTCCATTAGGAGCAAAGATGTTTAAAGCAATGCACCTTAGCAGAACTAACTGCTAGGCCATTCTTAAGTTTCAAGAGACGATCTAAAATCACTGTTGAGTTTCAAAGGGTGACAAGGACTTACCCTGAGTGCAAATAAGGAGTATTTGGATCAAGTAACTGAACAAATCCGTCTTCTGGACTTAATTACTACCATCGCTGAAGAAGGGCTTTACCAGAGAGAAATGAGATTGCAGTACAGCAGAGACCTATCCAGCATCCGAAAGGGAAGGTAAAAAGAAAAGATCCAGATGGAGAAGCCGTACAAACTCTGCAGGGTCAGGTTTCAGACTCTTAGGAGGTGTCTTGGGCTCGAAACAGAAAGAATACTTTGGAACTATAAATTGCTGATATAAATGCAATTATCTTGTCCTTATCTTATCTTACCCTCATGAGAGCTCCTGGACAGCGTGTGATAGGAGGGAAACCGTGCCAGCCTGACACGAGGTTGGAGCACACGATGTATTTCTGACTGCTTGCAGCTCCATGCGTTGATAAGTAACGTTGTCTCAGTGAAAGGCCAGAGGCTCTGTGTGTGGAGGTTGTCCCGCTGACCCTCCCATGCAGGAAGGAAACCATTGGGATGTAGGGGGACAAATGTCAAGTGAGCACTCATCGTGTACACTGCAAAAATCCTGTTTTCTATGAACGCCAGCATAAAACAACTTGGGAGAAGTGTTATTCACATAAATTTTGTGGGGTATCAGTAAAGAACAAATTCTTTGAAGCCAAATCTGCATGTTCCAGCATACCTGAGCAGGTCCATACAGACAAAATGGGAGAAACCTTTAGAAATCCCAGAAACTGTCTGAAAGGACAGAGGGAGTCAGTTCCTTGCAGTGACGGAGTCTGACACAGTTTCAATGAATCCCAGAACTTCTGCCAGCTTGGGTTAGACTTCTGCATTGCCAACAGTGACTCTGGGGCACAGGCAGCTGAAGAATACATCACGATTTCTGGTGTAGGTGCCTTTCAGCAGTCAGTCAACAAGGCACGGAGAGCGGACTGCCCCATTACATCTGACATTAGCAGCTCCTGCTGCCAGGGATGTTGTAGAAGTCCCTGGAGTGACGGGAAGACAGAGAGGAAGAACCTCGTTTTGGAAGTGATCCTAGTCCCTCTAAAATTGTAATATGCCCTATATGTTTCATGTGTTTGTGATGTGAAAATACATATTCAGAAAGACAGGAGGCAGGAAGTAAGCCTGGCACCATATGGAGTGATACCTCAGCTAAGACCACAGTGTTGAATTTGACTTTGCAACTAGAGGAGTTCAGTTTCCTCAAATCTAGGGTGGACCACCATTCCTTTCTGGCATTACAAAATAGACACCTTCAAGGTGAGAGAGTACCAGCTTGAAGCTCCTAGGCCTGACAGGTAGCTGCTCCCCACTAATGCAAGGCTTTTGTTCTCACAAGGGCTGCACGGTCTCTAGAAAAGGGAATGTAGCTGAGATGTGAGAAGTGCGGAAGAAAACAAATGGGATACTGCCCTCCTTGGTGATGAGGTCCATATTATCCATTTCCCAAGGTGACAGACTGACATAGAAGAAAGAAGAGTCATCAGAGTTGGAACTTTAGCAAGCTTCTCCTCAAATACCAATTCGTAATATGTCCTTCAGTTTTCCTTTTTTTTTATATTATATATAATAAAAAAAATATATCTGAAGTCCGTTATTCTTCTACCTCTCTTTTGAAACATCTTCAGCCTCTTCAGTTTGTCAGTGTCTGTTTTTACAGTGACAGTTTTTAGTGCACACAAGATGAGATAGATACTAAAAATTTAACACTTTTCAAAATCAGTGTAAGACCTTCTTGTGTTGCTAAATAACATGTTTTACTGAAGTCTTGAGAATGTCCTGTCTATACAGCTACCTTTGGCAACTGGGTTCAGCAAAAAATATATTTGCTGGTGCATCAGCAATTAGTCATTCAACCTGATGTGTGGTGTGTGCATTTTCAAAGTGCTCAGCATTTTGAATAGCATTTTATATATTCAAAATTACTGATTTTGATTAATCTTAAAAATGTCAATGAAAGATAGGTGAGTAATGGGCATTACTTGAATTCAATAGGAGTGGAAAGCAAGAAGCGTAGCTGGCTGATTTCATTACAATAATGGCCACTCAATACAACAATATTGTTTTCAGCAGACTTTATCAAAGTCCACAGAAAATGAAGACTTTGCAGTAATGATCATTTCTGAAACTCTGGTGTCAACAGTATCAAGAAGATACCCCATGGAGGAGAAAAACATACAGTTCAGCTCTTCCAAAAAACATTCAACTGCCTTGAGTTCAAAACTACAGTTTCCATTCTTCAATTTTCCTCTTTCACTGTTGTATGATTTTCATTGCATATGTGAGGAAAAAGTCAGCAAATACCCAAACCTGAGCTGTTTGCATATTGTTTTGCATTTTTAATGCACTTATTTACCGCCTGCAATTAGGAAGTTAAAGACTTTTTGTAGTGACAGATAACCATAATTCTAATACATAGCAGTTTTCAAGCATTTGACTCTACACTTTGGTATTCCACTGTAGTGTTATATGTTATTTCCATGCCAGAGGTACACTTTATTCAGGAAAAAATTAATTTAAAAAACTTGTCTTATACTAATCAGCCTTGTCATAATTAACAAGGCTTGAACCCTGAACTTCAGATCTCTCCTACTCAAACATAAGAAATTGAAGACAGCGGCCAGGAAGTTATTGGTTATTTTATGTAGACAGCCCCAGGCTCCTGCCTAATCTTTCAAGGCATCTTGCTTAGTTCATTCAATTACTTCATATAATTCGCATGATTCACAATTATAAAGCCATAATCTCTTACAGAAAAAAAAAAAAAAGGAAGTAATTCCAGGAAAGTAACTGCCTTTCCTCCACTTGCAATCCAAAGGTACCTTCTTCAAAGTTTAACCTTGGGAGTGTATAATTTGTGTTTGTCAGTAGGGAAGAACATGAATTCCTACCTGAAACCATATATGTAATAACGTCCCCTGCTTGGGCAATCAGGCAAAAGCATTGTTCAGAAACTGGTGAAGGGTTTCCACCAGTATGCTTACAACTTGCTTGATGTTTCAAAAGTCCTTGGAACTGAAGTACTTCACTGATGTGGAAACATCTTTGTTTCTTCTTATCCATTTCAGGAGCCTTCATGATCCCTTTCCTGATTTTACTAGTCCTGGAGGGTATCCCCCTTCTTCATCTTGAGTTTGCCATTGGTCAAAGGCTGAGGAAAGGCAGTGTGGGTGTCTGGAGCTCTATCCACCCTACCCTGAAAGGCGTTGGTAAGTCTTAATAGGATAGAAAAAGCTGCCTGAGAAAGCACAAGTCTCCAAACAGATAACCTTAAGAGAAAAGCTTCAGAATTTTATTCCTGTATGCCATTAGAGATTCCCTTCTCACCAACTCTCCATTGATAGGTCACACTAATCATAAGGCACTACGATAATTTTGCATCCACATTGCCAGGTACTGTGGGTCCATTTAAAACCTTTCTCTAATTGGAGACCAACTTCAGGCTTCAGAGCTATTTTCTGTGTTATCAGTATCAGCTGTTTTTACCATTAGGATGAACATTTAAGTGTGCCAAAAATTTGTTCTGTAAATAAACAATAGTTGAATATTTCTCTAATCTGGTCTACCAGACTTCAGGTCCCTGTACTGTTACTTTCTTACATCTGAGAAAGCTGCCATGCTGAAAGCCATGGAGACAGTGTTTTGCAGAGAATACTTCTTCACGTCTGTATTAGACTTCTGAGTATTCAAACACTATCTGACAATGCAGTAAAAGCAGCATGATGCCCACAGCATTAAAAACTCCACAGATACCTCATTACACAGGAAACACTGGGAGGGTGAACAAATACTGGCACCAAATACAGACACAGCTTGCCCAGAGATGTTGTGGAATCTCCACCCTTAGAGATACTCAAAATCTGCCTGGACATGGTCCTGGGCGACCAGCTGTAGGTGCCCCTGCTTGAGCAGGGGGCTGGACAAGATGACCTCCAGAGGTCCCTTCCCACCTCAGCTCTTCTGTGACTCTGATTACCACGCATGTGAAAGGGAAGGAACACAGCCAGGTAGGACTATTATTGGCATCCACCACATCTGTAAATCAGTTACAAAAGAGATTTATTCATTGCGTCTGGAATTTTTCAAACTTCTCCAGAACATTAGAGCCCTTGGGAGCTAATCATTAGCATTTACTGTCTGCCAGAGATCATCAGAGGTTGATTACTTGGGAGCAAGTGGAGAAGGAGAGATACCAGCTTGAATCCTGCACCTTTTCACAGACTGTGCCTCCTGGCTGCTACCCATCCTGTACAACAAATATTAGCCAAGCACATCTGCTGACCTCTGCAGTAGCATTATGGAAAGGGAAGAAAATTTGGGTCTCATTTAGGCAAAATCCCAAGTCAGTTGAGCTTTATGTGCACCCAGCATCCCAAGCTCCCTACATATCAGCAGCAAGACTGTGAACAGGATTGTGCAGTGTCTGTAGGGAGTTAGTCCATCCATAATGTTGGCTTCTAACTACGTGTCAGCTTCAGTGCCAGAGTCATTTTAGGCTGTGAGGAAGACTGAGCAGGATTGTGCAGCGTCTGCAGGGAGTTAGTCCACCCATAACGTTGGCTCGTAAGTGGGTATCAGCTTCAGTGCCAGAGTCATTTTAGGCTGTACATCTATGTTGAACTCACCTGTCCAACCTTTCAGTAACAAATTCAGAGTGATTAAACCTACTTGCAAAATAACACTTTAAACCATGGAATTGGGGGGACTCACCTGTCCAACCTTTAAGTAATGAATTCAAAGTGATTAAACCTACTTGCAAAATAAAGAGAGGAGAGGGAAAACACTTTAAACCATGGAATTAGGGTGGGCAGGAGAGTAGGGAAAAATCATACCACATGTTTTGATATGTCTTGAAAACAAAGAGTATTGAAATTTACATTGTGTTCCAATTTTATTTTTTTCAGGCATAGCAGCAATGTTTGTATCCTTCTTGGTGGGTTTATATTATAATACTATTATTGCCTGGGTAATGTGGTATTTCTTCAACTCCTTCCAAGAGCCCCTGCCTTGGAGTAGCTGTCCTCTGAACGACAACAGAACAGGTATATTTTATGAAATACTGTATTCTGTGGAACAGCACATTTTCCCATTTCTAACAATTAGCCTAATTAAGACTCTTTCTGTAAAACAACAGAAAGGCATAGCAGTCCTGTCAGGAACATTGTGCTATTTTAATACTTGTGTTTTGTAAAAAGTCACCTTATATAAAAGGTGATCAACACTTAATCTTGGAAACAAACTTTGACTTTTTATATGAAGCTTCAGGGCTGATTGACAGATGTGTTCACATACAGAATATTCACAAAGCACAAGTCTAGCATTGTCTACATTTAGCCTGGACCAAGGGCTAAACTGTAACAGTTGCTCTAACACCCAACAGCCCCTCACCAGCCAGGGAGCAGAACCAGGAAAAAGGAGAGCAGAGCTGCGGGTAAAAGTGGGACAGATTTAACAAAAAACACCACCAACACCAACAGAAATACACGCAGTCATACTCAGCCAAATGAATATCCAGTCATCACAATCGACCAGAGAGCAGTCCTTGGGAGAAGCCAGAGGAGGAGCAGGAAGAACCCCAGCAGGAACCCCACAGGAGCTCCCTCTCCTCAGCAACCCTTCCCCCTTTATAATGACCATGACATGATGGGATGGGCTACCCCTGTAGCTCACTCAGGTCAGCTGCCCTGGCTGACTCACAACTGCTAACGGCCTGCCTGGCGTGGCTGGGATTCTAACCCAGCCAAACCAGGACAAGCATGAACATTAACATTTTCCAGATTTAAGCAATGTGTTTCATCCATCTCTTCACCAACAGCCCTCTGTTAGTATATTGAAAAGGGAAAAAAAAAAAAAAAGAGATGCATAATCCATAGGAAGCGCCTGTGTCTCAGTATGACAACAGTCTATAGCTCCTTGGAGACTGCTTGGTTACAACAGCTTTGTTTTCCATAGTCAGCCCTGTGTGAAACTGTGTGAAGCAGATTTTTCTGGTGGGTCAGTGAACAGGTCTTCAGGAAGCTTTGCTCCTCTTCTCCCAGAATAAGTACAGAAAGCCTCATATAAGGGCAGGCCAGGGCAGAATATCGCTCAGGTCAGCACATTGCAGGGAGCTGAGAATTCAACATGAGCTGGCAAGACCTTGAACAATGCTCCACAAAATAGAAAGACAAAGTATTTCTGATCTGAAGGAGTTGTGGGAGGGGAAGAGCCCCCCGGCTGCAGGAAGCTGTGGGCAGGTGCCCACACTCCATCAGGCAAGAAAGAGCAGGATGCAAGTGGAAAGCCTAAAGCTGTTTGCTTTTGTTTTAAGGTGCTGTAGGAAGTGTACAATCATTGAAACACATCTGTGTAACTGCTTTTCTTCTAAGAAACTGAAAAACAAAATATTCCATTCAATACATTTATGCTCAGAAATCATCCCCACGCTTTCTTTGGCACAAGGGACTTCTAACCTCACATTTTTGTAGGAAAAAAGAAAACAATACAAAGATAGAAGAGTCTTTGAGTGAGCTTCAAAGATTTCATCTGCGTGGTTGAATTAACAGAAAAAGCAAAAAAAATCTATATTAAAATCCCTGTTAAACAATTCTCTTTAAAATGTCTCTTTTTCCATGAAACCAGCCTCCAAGCATCTGAAATTTGCCAACAAGTTCGTTGGCATTAGGTGGTATAATTTAGAACAGTGGTGTTCACTATTTAACTTCCTTTTTTTTTTTTTTTCCAAGTAAATAGAAGACATACAGATTGACAACCATTTTGTGGTTACAGATTACATAGAAGAGTGTGCCAAGAGCTCTCCCGTAGATTATTTCTGGTACAGAGAAACATTAAACATCTCTGCTTCCATTGAGGATTCAGGCACCATACAGTGGTGGCTTTTGTTATGTTTAACGTGCGCATGGGGTGTGCTGTACGTGTGCACAATTAGAGGCATTGAAACAACAGGAAAGGTACTCTATTTTGGTTTTTTATGAGATGATATTCATTATGCTGTTATGATTCCTTATTCATACAGACTTAATCATATGTAGAAACTGCCCTTTTTTGAGTAAAAGCATGTCTAAAACTTCGTGGGTCATCACTGGGGCTTCTTTTTGAAGACGGAAGCTGAATAAAATGGAATTTGATTTGATTTGATTTGATTTGATTTGATTTGACTTGATTTATGGAGAGATTTCTGTGTGCAATTCATCTTCCTTGTCCTTATAGGTCTTAGTAAAACATTCTTTAGCTATTACCACCTTAACATTAATATTAACCTTTAATGCAGGATCGAGGGACGCTGTCTTTGTGCTATGGCCAATCTCTTCAAAACACACCTATACTGATTTGTTTGGGTTTGTGCTAGTCCTTAATATTGTCTCTCTAAAAGGGTGACAAATGTTCTGCTGCCCAGCGAAGCCCTAAGAGCCCACCCTTGCATCGGCATCATCAACCTGATCTCAGGGTGTAGATTATTTTTTTATGCTGCTTTTGAGTGATCTGAGTCGAATCTCAACAATGACAATTTGTCCTAAATGGAGCACTACAACTGCAAAACTGTTTATTACCGAAATGTACTGCACATGCTCTTTCTCTTGAACACGGTTTTCTGTAGTACAACGATTGTGACTCGTTTGAAACTTGCCATTGTTGTTAGTCACGGTACCTTGTTTATTCCCCTCTTTTCTTCCCTGTAGTGCTATTTTTATTCAAGTGTTCTGTTTTATTTAAGTGTTTTATTTCATACTTCTTGTGCAGGCTGTGTATGTAACATCGACTCTTCCATACCTTGTGCTTACCATTTTTCTAATCCGTGGCTTGACGCTGAAGGGATCGACAAATGGAATTGTGTATCTCTTCACCCCTAACGTAAGTCACTGCAAGGTCCATCCCCCAGTCAAACATGATTTAGTTCTCTTTATAATTAACAACAGGTCCTGCACCTGGGTCAGGGCAAACCCAAGCACAGATTGAAAATTAGTCCCCTCCATTGAGGCTTTTCTAACTATCCCTCAGACATCTTTAAAGTCTTGATTCTGGAAGGTGAATCCTTTGCACTGGATGTAAAAATCGTACACATAAGCACACATTCTCTCCCTCTCCACCGCCACCCCCCCACACACACACACTAAAACCTGTTATAAAAAATTGAAGGATCATCAAAGAGCAATGGGGATGCCATAAGGAGGCTTGCTTTCTTTTCCTGTATTCTAGTTAAGGATAAGTCTAACTTCAAAGCACAAATCATGCATTGGGAGTAGAACCCATCTAATCAGCATGGCTATGTGGACAAAAGGCCTAAGAGAATGTTTACCTATACAACAGTTTTTAATCAAAATTAAAAGGGCTTTCTTTTTCTATGAGAAGAGCTCTGAATGGTCAACATTAATGCTAAATAATAAACAACACTTTTTCTGGAAACAAGCATGACAGCTATCACCTATGGAAAGTAATTTATCAGTCTTCAAAATACTTGTATGAAACCTACAGATAGGTTCACTTCTTGGAAAAAAAGTAAGTTTGACAAAAGTATTGACCTATTTGTTAACATTCTTCAAAAATGGCACGTTCTGCATGGTTAGTGTTCTTGTTTTAAATCCCTCATGTTCAGTCTAAATAGCAATGTTGCATATGCTTAAAGCTGTATGTCTGATGCCTCAGGTTACCGAGCTGGCTAACCCAGTGACGTGGCTGGACGCGGGTGCTCAGGTGTTTTACTCTTTCTCCCTGGCCTTTGGAGGCCTGATTTCATTCTCCAGTTACAACTCTGTTCAGTAAGTAGCCAGGCAAAAGCCAAATTTTATATGAATATTTCATTCTTTCAAATGAAGCATGTCCACTTCTGCCCTACCGTTACACAGTGATTGCTTGGGACCAGGACACTACATGCCTGACTGATTCTAGCTCTCCCAAGCCAAGATTTCAGGTCGCAGTGCTGGCTGATTTCCTGCAGAAAGATGTGGTGGCACAGGCTAGAAATAAGGGGGCTGGCTGCCCACCACCAGCTGATGAGCAGGAGTGCATGATACATGGTGTTGCCCTTTGTCTCCACACTGTCAGAGCTGGGTGATGGTACACACATTTCAAAGCAATTCACAGACCACAGTTTAAATCTTCACCTTCAAGATTAGAAGATATATCTAGGAGTTTTGAAATTCAAATTCGGTTCCTTCCTTTACACATGTGGTGGGGCCAGGGAAGAGATGGAGTTCAAATTCTCATTGCCCAGGGAATGACCCAGTCAGCAAATTATGACATGGTGCTATATTCTACACTCGACCTCCTAAAATATTGGAGCAACCGCCAGTGCCTCTTGGTGCCTTCCATCCCTTCAACACTGTCCTCTTGAAAGACAAACTGTGCAGCATTCTCTAAACCTAATATTTTTGATAAATACCTCTGAATTAAGTTTTGGTTATCTGGTTTGGTCACACATTCAGAAATCTGTGTTTCAGTTTTGGCTCAAGTTTGACCACACCAGCATTTCAGTCATTGATGTAATTCCCTGCCACCACTCTTGATTTCCAATATTTTTCAAAAGTTTTTCTGGAACTTTTGGTGCCTGCAAGTCTCAGCGTGAGGTGACAAGCCCCGCTTCAGGTCCAAGCTGATGTTCCCACAACCGCGAGGAGCAGGGCTGAGAATGTTCTGCGTCTTTCCAAAAGACCCGAAAAAAAAAAGCAGCGTCCTCCTGCTTTTCCAGCCCACAGGGCTGTGGCACCAGGCCGCAGTCCTTCGATTCTCAATTATTCATGACGTAAGGAGGAAACTGCAGAAAATAATGAAATTCCCATGGAGATATATGATGCAGTCAACACACTGGAGGGAAGGGAGGCCATCCATAGGGACCTTGGCAGGCTGGAGAGTTGGGCCTGTGCGAGACTCATGAAGCTCAAGGCCCAGTGCAAGGTCCTGCACCTGGGTCAGGGCAAACCCAAGCACAGATCCAGGCTGGGCAATGAGCGGATGGAGATTAGCCCTGCCGAGAAGGACTTGGGGGTGTTGGTGGGTGAAAAACTGAATATGACCCAGCAATGTGCGCTTGCAGCCCAGAAAGCCAGTCCCATCCTGGGCTGCACCCAGAGCAGCGTGGCCAGCAGGTCGAGGGAGGGAGGGGATTCTGCCCCTCTGCTCCGCTCTGGTGAGACCCCTCCTGCAGTGCTGTATCCAGTTCTGGGGCCCCCAGCACAAGACACGCATGGACCTGCTCGAGCGGGTCCAGAGGAGGCCACAAAGATGATCAGGGGCTGGAGCAGCTCCCCTGCGAGGACAGGCTTAGAGGGTTGTTCAGCCTGGAGAACAGAAGGCTCTTTAATATCGATTCTTTTTCTTATGTCTCAGATGAAATTCTCTTTCTGGGAGACCTATCTAGCGTCCTTCCAGTACTGAAAGGGGGCCTACAGGAAAGATGGGGAGGGACTCTTTGCCAGGGAGGGTAGTGACAGGACGAGGGTTAACTGTTTCAAACTGAAAGAGGGGAGATTTAGATGAGATATTAGGAAGAAATTCTTTCCTGTCAGGGTGGTGAGGCACTGGCACAGGCTGCCCAGAAAAGCTGCGGCTGGCCCCCCCCCGGCAGGGGTCAAAGCCCGGGTATGGGGCTGGGAGCAGCCTGGTCTGGTGGGAGGTGTCCCTGCCCAGGGCAGGGGGTTGGAACTAGGTGATATTTAAGGTCCCTCCCATCCCAAACCAGTCTGTGATAAAAGAAAAATACATGCAAATTCCATAGTGTCACACTGTGGTGGACTAGCTGGACCAGGTGTGAATGACTCTGCTCCCAGATGGTCTGGGAGTACAAACATCCCAGGAAATACTGTGAGTTTTCAATGCCAGCGGGGATTTACTCATTCATAACCAGGAGAAGCTTGAGCAACTTACTTTCTCTGAAGGAAGGAAATATTTTTACCAAGCCTGTCATTGAGAATCTCATGTTACAGTGAAAAAACTGCCACAAGAGTACAGCAAGGCATTTCAATTCAATGCCTTCTGCCCATTAGAGACATATGTGCAGTGCTGTAAACGAGGAAAGGTCATAGTGTCACAGGTCTTGGCTGGACAGGCTTGTCTTTCTTCTCCTCTTGAAGGTGATCAGAAAATTAAATACGACATCAACTTAATCTCAATAGTGCTCTCTTCCCAAGAGAAATACAATATCTAGAGCTTTACAGCCTTCTCATAAAACCATTAACTAATTTAATATTGATCCTTTATCTTCTCTTTCAGATGAAACTCTCTTTCTGGCTCTGCAATTTTTTTCGCCTTAGCACAGATACGCTGGCAAGTGCCCGCAGCACAGAAGTCTCTACAAAGCAGTTTAACTTTCACAGTGCGATAGCTTGTCTGACCAACCCTATCAGCTTAATGTTCCATCATATTTCCAAAACTTCAGGACATTTTGAACCATCTTCTGTCCAACAATCAAACAAAACTGTTCCCGAGTACTCTTGGCTACTGCAACTTCACCATACCAGAGTGCTATGGAAATTTTTGGTCACTTGTTCCTTCTGACTGTCCAAATTCAACCCCAAATCTTTCACCTTGCCTCAGAACACCCCGTCAGCTAAGACACAGCTTATGCCAATGAATGTCTGTACACATGCATGCCAGGCATCAAAAGGAGGAGACATACTTTTTTGCCCTTCATGTTTTACTTTCCGTGAGCCAGACACGGAAACAACCTTGGCAGTTATTCCTTATGAATAGGATTATTTGAGGGAAAAATAAACAAACCATAGCTATTAAACTGCTTAAGGCACCAAGTTTTAATTCACTGAATCTATCTTTAACAGCTGTACTTGTATATTCTTAGAGAGCATGCTATGTACCTATATGTCTGTAGGCTACTTTTTTGTTAGTCGTGGTAGCCAGCTTTTAGTACTTGTTTTGGTAATGTGTTTGAAATCCATTCTTTTTCCATCTTTTCTCTTTTTGAATTGCAGCAATAACTGTGAGAAAGATGCCCTGATTATCTCAGTGATCAATGGTTTCACGTCTATCTATGCAGCAACTGTCATATACTCCATCATTGGATTCAGAGCCACAGAAAGATACGATGACTGTTTTGACAAGTAAGTTATTGAAAAAAAAAAACAGAATATACAGGTGTTTGTCTGGCTGAGGCAGCTCTGTTAGCCTGATAATAATGGATTTATTATTGCTGAACAATTGCAGCACCTGACACACATAGTATCAGACCACTAATTGCTTCAAAAAATTTAAGTCATGTGGCATTAACCCCATAGCGATAATTATTTGAGCCACCTTATTTCCTAGATAGATGTTGCTTAAGCAACCATATATTATGTTATTCCCTGATGTTTCCAAAAAGTAACGAGGGAGGAAGCGGATATTCCTTATTTTGATGTGGTTTTTTGAAACAGTTCTTTCAAATATAACTGCAGTTTACATAACAATTTCTATTTACATAAAGGTAAATTCAGTTCATGATACGTTATTTCCCCAAAACGTGCTAGAATAGCTATAATTTTAGAGGTAAACGTGAAAAAGTAATCATTTGCAACAATGTTTATGAAACATGTTCTGAAGCAATGTATTAACTGGATAAGGCAAGTTTCAACAAAATTAGTTCTGTGAACAGTTGGGTTTTACATTGCATACTTCAAAACCAACCAACCAAACAAGGATGCTAGGCTGCTGCTCTGCTGTTTCTGCTATGGCTCATGTCAAATCCTCAAAGGCCTCCTGACCTAGTGGCCAAACTACGCGGTTCCGCCTTGGAGATCACCTGCCATGAGCCGCTGAAAGCACTGCCCGTTTTAAGCAAGCTCCCCATGACCAGGCAGTTCTGACCATCCTGCAGAGTCCTGGCCATAGCTGGATCACAGGGCGGGCACCTCAGGCACTGCTGGTGACTCTGCATACTACGTTGGGAAATTTCTGAAATTAATTCATTAAATTCTTGCCCTTTTAATTCATTAGATGAAGTTCTACCAACCACTGGAAAATTGTCTAGAAACTCTGAAAAAAAAAATTGCAAAATTCATAATAATCAATGTTTGCTGAGCTGACGTGTGGCATGATCTTAATATACCCTGGTGCCTGTGTCAGCTCTGTATTTAGGTTGCCTCCAGGAGAGCTTAAATGCTTACGTCTCATCAGAAGTACCTAGTTTTACAAGTGCAATTCAGAATGTCTTCTAACTGGGCTGCCAGACCCTGTGGTTCCAGTCAAGTTCCTCCACATCAACTGTGAAAGTGCATGACACGTAACTGCAGGCACCTTACACATTCCCAGAAGCTGCCCAGTCTGGGAACTGGTGCCCAGTCTGCAGTGCAAAGATGGGCACCTAATTTACGCACAGGTCCCTAGGGTGCCCATCCATTTAGCTGTCATCTGTGCCATGAAAGACAGTATCAGACTCA